TTTTTGTGCCAAGGCAATTCTACTGTTTTCCCTTCAAATCACGAGGAGCACATGGGGGGGGGGGGGTTATATATTCGAATTCCCTTTTTTAGTTATCCCATCAGGATTCGATCTCCCATTCCCAGCCACATGGGATCCCAACGGGTGTGCTTGCCGACAGATGGAGAAGAGGTCTGCTTGCTGACAGCGATATGTGTGTCTGTTCCATTCCCAGCCACGTGGGCAGGGTGGTTGCGATCCCGACAGCTGAGCTGGAATCAATGCCCCGTCTGTGTGAGATTTGATGTGATCGGGACAGGACATGGGGGTTGCATAAATTTTGACTGCGCGAGACTGGAGACCTGCCTCTGCCTCTGCGAGATTTTTCATTCCTATGCGTTCTTCCCGGGGGTAAGGTCCCACTTGGACGGATTAGGAGATTTCGGCCGTTGATCTTCGCTATCGACGGTCAATATCGCATAATTGGTGCAAGTGGTACCTAGCCCCGGGGGAGGAGAAAGGGAGAAAGAAGGGTCATAGATTACCGAGACAGTTCCCGCCGAATTCGTTGAAGCCGCTGATCCCCACGTGGAGGGACGTCCCGCCAAATTCCTACGTGGAGTGAAGTTCCCGCCTAACTCCTAATCCGAGCCAAAAGTTCCTGCCTAACTCCTAATCCGAGCCAAAAGTTCCCGCCAAGCTCTTATTCGGGGCCAAAAAGTTCCCGCCGTCCGCCTCAGTCCAGTTCCCGCCACCAATTTCGCGCCAAGTTCCTCCGACTTCCTCCTTGCGGCGCGCAGTGGACGCGGCAAGCCCCCGCCGGGTCCCGATTTCGAGCCAAGGGGTCCGCCGCCTTCCCCCAACACAACGCACCCTGATCATGACGGGGCAGACGGTAGCACTGGTCCCTTTTGGAGCAGCAGCCCTTCTCAATTCACAAGTCCTTTTTCTTCGGCTCCTTTAGCGAGAGGGATCGTGGAATATGTGTATGTGTGTGTGTGTGTGTGTGTGTGTGTGTGTGAGAGAGAGAGAGAGAGAGAGAGAGAGATCTTTTCTTCCTCCCTTCCCAATCGTGAAAGATGTGTGTGTGTGTGTGTGTGTGTGTGTGTGAGAGAGAGAGAGAGAGAGAGAGAGAGAGAGAGAGAGAGAGAGAGAGAGAGAGAGAGAGAGAG